CGGCTCCTCGGCGCATGAGCCCCACCAGCCCTACCTCGGGGCTGGCAGCCCTTTTCGGCACCTCCCCCCAGGAGGGGGGAGCCCAGGGCCCCAACGGCCAGAGCCACGAGGCGGGCCACTGAGGGGTCCGGAATGGTGAGCCGTCCGCTCTCCGAGCCTCCTGTACCCGTTGCGCTTGCAGCCTCGCTCCCGGCGCCCCGCTCTCTGTGTGCGTGTCTCTCTCTCATGGTGTGATGCAAGACCCGGGCACGGGGCCAGCGCTGGGACCCCCCTGTCCACTTGACAATCAACCCTCCCTGTCTCGGGGCGGCCACTTCTCTCCCATTGTCAGCCATAGGACACCCCCTGAACTCCTCGCAGTGTCCTGTGCAGAATCCTCCCCTTCCCACCGAGTCATAACCAGCTGGGTGCTGGTCAAAAAGCCTGCTTATCCTTCTCTTCCCACCTCGGCTCTTGGCCCGTGGCAGCCCAGGGAGGTTGGGAGGTCTCCTTCCCCTCCAGAGCCAGGGTGGAGGCTATGGGGTGAGCCACCCATGAGGAGCAGGGCTTCGTGGGCTTGTTGGAGGGGGGGAGCTCCCCCTAGTTTGGAGTGTCACCCAATTCCTTCTAAGCAGAATCCAATCCCTCAGTTTTTGGACGGCTGCTGGTGGTTCCCAGGGTCGGGCTTCCCACCCATTGCAGGAAGCTGCCAAAGATGGAGCTAAAGCAGGATGTGAGGAAGGCAGCGTGGCTGGGGGGTCCGTAAAGGCCACCGGAAGCCAGGAGAGGCCCTACCCGGAAAGGAGACGGAGAGAGAGAGAGCAGGCACCTGAGCCAGCCTGTTTCTACACAGATAGCCGTTCTGGGGACTTCACGCTTGGGTAGTAGGGCTGACCATGGTACCAGCGGGCCAGGGATCAGGGGAATCCAGACGTTCCTGCTGGACACGGGCGAGGTGGACGCAGTCCAGATTTGGGACCTTGATGGCAGCAGCCATCTGGCTCTTGCTGTTGAAAGCCCTGAAGGAGGGAGAGCCTGGAAGAGGTTTGGGTCCCCTTGGGTGAAATGCGCCCCTGCCCCCTTGTGCCTTGGATTTTTGGACCTGGAAGAAGAAAGCCAGGGAGGTGTGGGGGGGAGGAGGAGGGGGGGCTGGTCTCCCCGCAGACAGATCCATGACCTTCGCTGGGAGGAGTTCAGAGTTGATGCCATCTGTCCTGCCTCCCTCCCCAATAAATCATCTACAGACATGAGGATGCGGCTGCGTGGTAGCTTTTTGCCGGAAGGAAAGACGAGGGTCTCTGGAGGGGACTCTGGGCGTGGAGGAGGAGATGGGAGCCTCGCTGCATGTTCTTGGGGGCTTTCAAAGCTCCCTGGTGGAGGTCTCAGTTCTGAAATGTCTCTCCTTCTGCGCCCCAAAGCTAAGAAAAGACTCCGGTGGCAACGGGTGGGCACAGGGATCTGGACCTCTTGGTCTTATTAGGAGGGAAGCCAGGGGTCGGTCAATAGCACCATGACTCACGAGCCTTCTTGCTTGAACAAACCCTACCATGTGCCACTGTAGGGAAAACCCAAGGGTGCTCACTGTAGCTGCCAGGCTTATGTTGGTGACCCCCTGCACCCTCCATGCTGTTGGAGGAAACAACCCTGCTCCCCCTTCCCACTCAGGGCTGTGCTATTACCTTGGGAAGCCTGATTCAACCCAGATGATGAGCCCGAAAGCCTGGCCTTCTCCCTTAGGTCCGTTCCTCTGTCGGCCACCCCATAAAGTAGTTCAAAAACCCCTCCCACTTCCTGCTAACTTTTTGTTTGATCGAAAAAGACGAGGGATCCCAAAGTGGCAAATTCTCTCTCTCCCCCCTCTCCTCCCACCACCATCGAGGGCATTTTTGAACTCATGCCAGATTAAGACGGTGCATCCCTTTTCAACAAGCCCTGTTTGTAAAACAAAACTCAACCCTGCTTGTCACTGCGAAACAGGGTTCAGCTCCACGTGCCTGGTGGCGGAGGGGTGAATTTGGCACATGGGCATTAAAATATAATTGGCACTAATTCATCCATCGTTAGCCCAGGGTACGGCTGGCACTACCACGTTGGGGGTGGGAAGAGAGTGCTAAAGTTAGGAAGAGTGTGTGTGTGTGTGTGTGTTTCTCCCAGGATCTCCTGGGACCCCCCAACACACACATCACACGTTGGGGGTGGGAAGAGAGTGCTAAAGATAGGATGAGGAACAGGGTGTGCGTGTGTGTATGTTTCTGCCAGGATCTCCTGGGACCCTTCCCCCCAGTGTGTGTGTGTGTGTGTGTGTTTCTCCCAGGATCTCCTGGGACCCCCCAACACACACATCAGACTGAAAACAAGCTCACTTTCGAGTTTCGAACATCTCCTGCCTCTGATATTTTTCTAAAACCAGGGCTGAACCCCTGTTGCCACGGCTTCATGCCTGCAATGGTGGATTAGGCCATTGTCGTCATCACGAACTCACCAGTGATTTAAGACTTCCTTTGAGCTGGCTTGGATAGCTTTGTGGTTTAGGTCTCTGACGTGGTATTTTCAGATTCCTGCATGTCACGCCATCAGTTTCGATGATGATGATGATGATGATGATGGATTCTAGGGTGCATGAGTTGTGTCCACAATGTGATGAAGTCATACATTCCCTGAAATTCTCCCATGAAGTCTTTGATCCGTGCTATTTTGCCATGAATGAAGCCATCATCTCCATTTTGCACACGGACTTCTTCCTAGGTGTGCTTCCCCCCCCTCCCCGCCCCCCGTGCTTTGTTTTAAAGGTGGATCCTGCCCTCTAGAGCCATGCCTCTCCCATCTGGGGAAGGTACAGTAAAATCTACTTTTTTACAGTTCAAATTTTGTTTCTTCACTTGACAGGGCCAGAAAGGGGGGGGGATGTGATGGGCCCTGTTGTGGCTACAGCCAGGCTAAGATAAGCTGAGGGCTTGGTATTTTCAGATTCCTGCACGTCACACCATCAGTTTCTTTTCTTTTTTAAAGCAAAGGAGTAACGTAGCCGTCCATCCCACTATAGGAAAGCTTCATTTACTGCAATTTTATTTACAAATCCGTCCCCACCTCCAGACCTTTTCCCTCCTAATAAATTACTAGCAAAAATGCAGAGCCTCTGTCTCTGCTCCATAGTCTGTGCGTCCTTGAATGAACAATTTCAGTGCAACGAGACAGTTCCTGGCCAGTTTTGGCAACCCACCGTTGGTGGTTTTGGGTCAGAAGACATCATGATGATGTCACGCCGACAGAAGGCGCCGGGTTGCGTCCTGAATCTCGGAGAGCCCACTGTGAAACAAGGGGGCCAACCTTCTTTAGACTGAGTGGACCCCCTGGGCCACATTGTGCAGGATCTGTCCCTTGAGGGCCCAGCAGCATCATTCAAAAGACAAAGTGTCCTCCAGACACATCGGGTCTGGATTCACAGCGGGATCCATCTTTGCCGGCCACAAAAACGGCACCGGGTGGCAGCCCATGGGTTACGCCGGAGTCTGTGGCGCAAGGCGGCCTCCTTCAGGGAAAGCCCTCGCGGGTCTGATCCCTCCAAGCTGGGCTCGGCCACAGCCTGGCCCCAGGCCACGTGCCCTCCGTGTCCACGTGGAAAGAGGAAGATCGAGGCTCGGCTCAGCGGGACCCCGCACGGCGGGCAGACCGGGCCAGTTGCATGCATCTGTCAAACAGGAGGAAGGACCCGCCGGGAGGCGCCGGCTGCTGCTCCTGCCGCTTCACTTTGAGGGAGGGGCCCGGGTGCCTGCGCATCAGGCGGTTGGTGAGGTGGCGGGCGGGAGCCACGATGGCCTTGCCCACATCAATGCAGCTGCAAAGGAAAACGAGAGGAGAGAGAAGATTCAACCTCTGGAGGTTCTCCTGACACTCCTCCTCTTTAGAGCAGGGGCGATCCACTGGGGCCCTCCAGATAAAGCGGCCTTCCGCTCCCAACAATTCCGGCTAACCCAGTCCTTGGTAAGGCATCATGGGGCCTGTAGTCCAACCACATCTGGAAGTCCACACGTCGACCCACTGATGAACCGAGAAACTGAAGCAGCAGCTCTAATGAACTGCTGGGGAGTTCGGTGGTTTTCGTCTCTGGCCAGAGAGCCAGAGGTTGGGAGTTCGAATTCTCCCACTGGGCTTCCTGGATAGGGGAGTTCGAATCCCCCCACTGGGCTTCCTGGATAGGAGGCTGGACTGGATGATCCCAAGGGTCCCCTTCCAGCTCTGCAGGTCTGTGATTATTTCACTGCTGGAGAGTCCAGGGATTGAGGTCTCCGGCTGCAGAGCGTGAGGTTGGGCATCCGATTCCCCCCCCCTGGGGCCTCCTTGACAGACCACACTCAATAACCCCTCGGGGTCCCTCTGAGCCCTGTGCTTCTAAACTGATGGTTCTTATTACCACTGATGGAGTGGTTCGTTCTGAGCACCAGCTGGCCCAGCCAAGGACCTCGAGGGCAGAAGATAGGGTGTCCGTCTCAAATGACCTGCAGTGACTTATGATCTGAAAACCTGGTGGCGACCTGCCTTCCCTCCACCCTGCTTCCAAACCCTCTCTCTGGCTTTTTCGATGGAAGCTCACGCTCAGCCTGTAGGTTCCCTCCCTCCCTCCGTGACCCCCCACAGCCATTGCACTCACTTGGGCCACTCTTCCTGCCCCTCCAGGCAACCCGGAGGTGGTTGCAAGACGAAACAGGAGGAGGAGACGTAGCTGGAAAGCACCTCCCCTTCGACCTCGTTGGGACCTTGGTTTCGTCGCAGGAACCGGGCCAGCCTAGGAGAAGAAAGAAAGAAAGGGGGTCTGATTCAAACACCTTTTCTCCTCTTGGCCGTGCAGAAGAAAAGGGAAATCTGCCCCTCACATGATTTGCTGAGTGCAAAAAAAAGGGACCCCCCCGGTTCCCGCCCACTTCTGCTCAAGAGAAATCCACTGAACAGTTGCATTTATATCTCGCTTAAATTCCAATAAGTCTCGGGGAAGCCTGGAAGCAAAGTAGGACGTCGACAACAGGGGTGGGTCCAGGAAGAGCCCATTTCCATCGTCCCCCCAACTGGGGCCACCCACAAATGTACAGGCCATCAAAAATAACCACTACCCCCCACCACAAACCACTCTGATATCTGGATTGGCTAGCAATCCACTTCCAAATCTGAAATCTACGATAGACCCCCCCCTTATCCACGGGATCAGTATCCCCTGATTCACTTATACATGGTCTACAAATATTCAAAGAAAAATCCTATAAATGCATGTTTCTAAAGTGGACGGTATCTGAACTGGTAGCAAGATATGATGCTATGTACAGAATTGCTAATATAACAGGGTTCACTATAAACCATATTTTTTAGCATCCGTGGGAGCAGGCTTGAAACCCATCCTCCATGGATATAGGAGTCCTACTATAGTTTTTTTAAAATGTTCAATGATGCTGAAGAAACTCCTGTTGCCTGATTTAACAGGTGGACTGCTGCTACTGCTGGAGGCTTCCAGCACTGAAGAGCCACTTGCAATTTGCTGGATGAAGCGTTTCCAGCCCAAAGCCCCTCTACGGAGTGTGCGTTTTTTTTCTCTTGAAATTTGTATGCCCCCAAACCTTATACGCACACATACATAAGAAAAGCAGAAGTGGCTTCTTCCAGGAGCTGAGGCTCTCCAAATGGGGCCCGGGTGCCTAGGACCTGCTGGCAGGGATCTGCAGCATCCCATCTCCAGCAGTAGGGAAGGTGGGGGTTCGCTCCTCCGTTCTCCCCCCCAACCCCACTTTTTGGTCCTCAAGCAGAGGCTGGACTACCATCAGCTGTCTTTAGCTACTCTAGGCAGGCCTAGACAGACAAGACATTCGCACCTGTCTGGAACCCCAGTGCCATAAGTTCTCTTTGCTCCTTCCACAAAATCATGAATCACAGGACTGTAAGGGCCAGAGCGGATGCCCAAGAGTAGCTCATCCTCAGCTGAAGCAGGAAATTTGCAGCTCATGCATCCTTGGCAGGTGGTCCTCCAACCTCTGCTTAAAAACCTCCAGTGATGGAGAGACCAATTCCCCCCCTCCAAGGCAGCCCCTTCCATTGCCAAACAGCTCTTATTGCCAAGAAGGTCTTCCTAAGGTTTAGTCCAAATCACTTATTTAGTCATTTGAATCCAGAGCCCCGAGCCCTACCCTCTGGAAGTGGGAGGAGACAAACTTGCTCCGTCTTCCACGTGGCAGTTCTTTATATACGTAGCTTTCATGCCACCTCTCCGTCTTCTCTTCAGTGGCAGTAGTGAGGTCCCCAGATGTTCCTGGACTGCCACTCCCAGAAATCCTGGCCAGCACAGCTAGTGGTGAAGGCTTCTGGGAGGTTTAGTCCAAGACCACCTGGGGACCCCAAGTTGGGCAACCACTGGTCTAAGGCTCAACAGGCTCCGTTCTCTCAACTGGCCTTCAGAGGGCTTGGCTTCCATCCTCTTCGTGGCCTCCTAAAATCATGTACCAGCTTCTCAATATTTTTCTTACACTTCCGTAACCCTCTTTCCAGCTCGCTCAGCCCCTGCGGTGGGTCCATAATTAGGAGACCCTCGTCACTCACCGGCGGGTACAGTTGCAGTGGAAGAGCGTACGGGAATCCGTGTTGTGCAGCTGGTATTTGACCTCGTGGGGCGCAATCCTGTACGGGCACTGATCCAGGCGTCGGTAGCAGCTGCAGCTCTGGGATGGAGCTGGAGAAAAAAAACAGCAGGGGGGAGGAGGATGCTGAATTTGGGGATTGCAACAGGAGTCAAACACCCGCCTTGGCCACACTGGACTGTCCATCTCCTCTGGTCTTGGAAGCTAAACACCCCAACTGGAACATAACTATATTGCAGGTGGCTGGAAGTGTACCTCTGGCTTTGAAAAATAAGGATTATTATATAAAAGGGGAATCATGGAGCTTGGAAGTTTAAGAGAACAGTTAGACAAAACTCTCTTGCTGCAGAATTGAGGTTTGTGTGTGTGTGTGTGTGTGTGCAGAGAAACCACGGGTTTGGGGGCTGTGTCCTATCTGCCACTGCTCTCTCAGCGACATTGGAAAGAATGGTGGTGGGATAATGTCATTTCTCCCGTTTGCCCTGAAACAGAGGTACACTGCCTCTGTGGAGGGAGGCTCCATTTTGGCAACACAGGGACCATAGCCAGGGGTGGTGGTGTAGCTATGGAAGTTCCTGGGGGACCTCTTTCAGCCTGACCTACCTCACAGGCTTGTCATGAGGACAGGAAGAGGGAAGCTGCGTATGTTGCCTTGAGCTCACAAGGTGGGAGTCATCTGGTGACTCCAGTTCCAGAGGTGCCAGGAATCCACCCCAGGTTTTCCCAGGAGTTGTCCAAGGTGCTGAACCAATGGGTGGGAATGGATTCAGCACTCTGGACAGCAGCTGAAAAGTTTCCCCCTTATCAATTCCTTGAAATTCTTCAATTCCCTTCTAATGCCATGTTGTTGCATCCAGTTCTGCCAGGTGGCTAGGATTTGTACAAAGGAGAGCTTACTTTTGGCAAATAAAGATCCTTTACTGGATCTTGAACCCTGGGAGACCCTGAGTTCCAATCCTGAGACAGACTCAAGATTTCCACCCCTTAGTCAGTCCCCAACGAAACAGGTGACCAGAAACAACCCACGCACCTGAACTGCTGGAGGTAACAGCATCTCCATGCCCTCCAGCACCAGAGACGGGCTTCCCTTTCTGCCCCACGTCCTTGGGAAGCCCAGAAACTCCTGTGTGGGTTTGCTGGACGTTCTGGGGATCCGTGGGGAGACCCACACCCGTCTTCCACAGGCCAGGTTCTGACGTGCCTTCAAGGGTGGGTCGCAGTGGCGGTAGAGTCCTTGTCCGTCCAGGGGTGGGTCCCGAGCTTGAGGCCACGGGGGGCCACGTGACAAGATCTGACTCCAAGACCGGGGTCGGGGCAGCAACAGAACCCCACGGCCCAGAAGGTTCCGGATGCAGACCACCGGGCGCCTCCGTGGCCTTTGATCTGAAGCGCTTCCGGTTCTTTCGGTTCTTCCGATGGCGCTTCCGGCCCTTTCCCTTGCGTTTTCTGGGCCGGGCCGGTGTTGTGGCCGGGCCGGGTCCTTCCGTCGACAACAAGAGGGGCTGGTAGGGAGCCTGCGAAACTAGGTGAGCCAAAGGCATGAGGCCGTACGCCTTACACCTAGGAAGGGGAGGAAGAAGACCAGCCGGTCATCCACAGGATTGGGGCCTTCCCCGTAGCCTTGAGGTAGGGGCTAATTTCAAATTAACAAGAGGCGTTCTGTGCATCTGCCTATCCATCATCAAGTCACTATCTATCCATCAACCATGAATTCATTATTTATTTATGGATCTATCATCAACTCATTCTATCCATCCATCATGAATTATTTATTTATTTATTTGATTTTTATCCCGCCTATCTGGACCAACGGTCCACTCTAGGCGGCTAATTATCTATTATCCTATCTATCTATCTATCTATCTATCTATCTATCTATCTATCTATCTATCTATCTATCTATCTATCTATCTATCTATCTATCTATCTATCTATCTATCTATCTATCTATCTATCTATCTTTCTGTCTGTCTGTCTGTCTATCTATCTATCTATCTAGCTAGCTAGCTAGCTATCTAGCTAGCTAGCTAGCTAGCTATCTCTGTCTGTCTGTCTGTCTATCTATCTATCTATCCCTACCTGTCTGTCTGTCATGAACTCCTTATCTACGTACCTACCTACCTATCAGTCATCAATTCATAATTTCTCCATGTGGAATTCATTATTTACCATCCATCCATTCTCTCTCTCTGTCTCTCTACCTACCGACTCTCTATCTCTCCAGCTCTCTCTCTCTAACAGGATGCAATATCTACCTTCCTATCAGTCATCAATTCATAATTTCTCCATGTGGAATTCATTATTTACCATCCATCCATTCTCTCTCTCTGTCTCTCTACCTACCGACTCTCTCTCTCTCTAACAGGGTGCAACCCCCCCTCCCGAACAGCAACAAAGCAAAAACAAGCTCCGTAGGTGGTGCGCAAAGCCCTCGTCTCCCTCTCCCCCCTGCAGCCCCCCCCGGGGGGCGCCCGGCCACTCACCCGCCCCACCAGTGCCACTCCAGGCACTCTTCGCTCTCCTCCAGGACGAAGCAGGGAACCTCCAGCAGGTTGAAGAAGCTGATCCCGATGAAGTTGGAGATGGGGTCGTTGAGGTCCCTCAGGCACTGCCGGAACCTGTCAAGGGAGACACGGACCCGTCACGACGGCGGGGGGGGGAGGAGAGCCGCTGGGGGCCTGCAGCCCTTGCGCCCAATCTTGGATGGATCGTTTTCCAGCCAAACGGGTTTTTCTGCCCTTCCCCGCCCGGCCCCCTCCAGTGAGCGCAGCCCACGCAGAGGCTGGGAAGTGCTGGCACGAACCACCGTTTTTTTGGGGGTGTGTGTGTCTCTGCCCATCTCTAAGGGAACTGAATCATCCCAGCATCATCCCACAAGCAGAGGTGATGGTTCAAAGGCTCTCCACCCGCGAGCGGTCTTCACCAGCCCATTGATTATGGATCGTTCCCAAGCTGGTTGGTGCCACATCTTGACTGGATTACTAACGAGGCAAGGTTTTTGAGACCCACCCCCTCCGAAGCCCCCCAGAAACAATCTCAACCAGCCTCCAAAGCTGGCCAGGGGCAGCCCCACAGGGAGAACCTTATGCACTGGAACCAACCAACCTTCACAATCCCTTGGTGCCACATCTTGACTGGATTACTAACGAGGCAAGGTTTTTGAGACCCCCCCCCTCCGAAGCCCCCCAGAAACAATCTCAACCAGCCTCCAAAGCTGGCCAGGGGCAGCCCCACAGGGAGAACCTTATGCACTGGAACCAACCAGTGCATAAGGATCTCCAGATCCTGTTGCACTACAAACCCCATTATCCTTGCCCAGGTGCCCCGCTTGGGGGGTGGGGGTGATGGAAATTGCAGTCAAACCTTCCCCCAGGGCACGAGCAATGAGAGGATCAACAAGCCCACCATCCCTGGCCAACGGCCATGAAGAGAAGGATGGGCCGTGTTGTCCAAGGCCAGCGGCTACTAAAGAGCCATAAAGCATGGGAAGGTCGCCCTGCCCGAATACTCACCGCTCATCGCAGTCGCAGTGGGAGATGGTGTGGAGGCGATAATTCCGCATCCCATACTTGTAACCCAGGGCGGCGATCTGAGCCTCGCAGAGGTCATGTTCTCGGCAGCAGACATCCGGGCCTTGGAAAACCCCTGCAAACAAGAGAGACAGGATCAGACCCATTGGGGGGGGGTGGAGAAGGGAAATTTGGAAGGTCCAGGGGCCAGTTTCACTTTCTTGAGTCGCATCATAGGCTGCATCACCTCCAAGAAAATGGGTGGGTCTTGCGTTTCTTTGTCACCACGAGAAAGTCACTTTCTATAGAAATAAAAAAGGAAGACGCCCCCCCAAACCTCTCAGAAAAAGGCTTCCCCCCCCCCAATGAAAACCAAACCCTAGACTTTGCTTCCGAGCAGAACTGCAGCCATCAGTTGCTTTGAGGAATGAAAAAAAAGGCATTTTTAAATGGGGATTCTGACCAAGGGGAAAACTCTGCAGGGCTGATGTTCTGCAATAGCAGCAGCTCCACTGCTGCCCCCTACAGGCGATGGAGAGAGTTTGCAAAAGGAGATTTCTCCGCTCCCTGCTAAGCAGTGGGTGCAGCAACCTCTGGACGCAGAAGCCCACCAAAGGTGGTTCCCCCCTATTTTGAGGGAATGGGGGTGCACCTTGTTTGTTCTCTGGGGGGGCTTCAGGTGAGGGTGAGCTGAAGGAGGAGATGATGGTCTCCCTTTATCCCTTCAGCTAGAAGGTTCTGGCTGCTGTAACCACACGGACAGCACGGGAGAATTGCCTCCCTGGATGAGGCCCAAAGGCGCCCAGCACCCAGCCTCTGCCAGCTATCAGGCAAAACCCACTGGGAAGCTTCTGAACAGGGCTGGCCCCTTGTTCTTTACCTGGCTACTGGTGCCAGCCTAAGATAGACTGCCTCTGCATAGGGAGGTTCTGTTTACCCCTCCGTCTCAGCTGAACTACGGTCTGTTAAATGGGCCTGATCCTTTTTCAAAGCTATCTAGGTGATCCCCCAACCACCCAGGGGTTCCTAAACTTGGGTAAACTCTGGTCTTCTTAAGACTGCAATTCCCAGAAGCCTTCACCACCTGCTGTGCTGGGCAGGATTTCTGGGAGTGGCAGTCCAGAGACACCACAGTTGGGAAGCCCTGCCAATCATCACTTCTGGTGGCCACGAGTTCTGTAGGTGGATCATTCCTCATGCTTGCCCACCCTTCCTGGTTGTCTACTTCAAAGACTCCTCTTTTGCTTTACCTCTGCAAATACTGTATATGCAGAAACTGCTAGATCCCCCTGATATTTTTAAAAGGAAAGGGTGGCTCTCCTGGAGATCCTGCGTTAAGCCTTATCCCCGTTGTCTGCTCCCCTCCCCCAGTAATACAGCAGGGCCACGGTATCTGCAGGGGAATCAGTTCCAAGTCCCCCCCCCCCGCGGATGCTGAAAAAACGCGGATGTATCGAGACGCTATCCATGCGTGCTCTCTGGATTCCTCTTGTAGCCCGTTCTGATCGATGCACGCGTGAAACAGGTACGAATAAGTATTCCTGGTGCTTTTAATTTAATATTTAGTATCTGGAGCCCTCGGATAAGTGACTCAGCGGATAGCGATCCCGCGGATGGAAGGGTCCTACTAGCGGCTGAGAGTTTCTTTTTTGTTTTAATGTACAGTACATGCTCCTCTACATGCTCGCGTGCTTTTCCCTGCCCTGCGCCGGCCAGGGCTCCGGCGTCAAGGTCGTTTTTCCGTGTGGCTCGGCCCGGTCCTTCCCCGGCTTCCGCCCCCTCCTCGACGGCGGGCCAACCCGTCCCGTCTCACTTACCGAGCTCCGAAGCGTTGGCCGCCGAGTCTCCGGCGCCGCACCAAAGCGTCCCGGGCATGGTCCAGCCGCGCCGGACCCGCGGGCGCCCCCTCGGCTCCATCCTTCCCTGGGGTGCCGGGGGGCCAAGCGCCCCTTGGGGGGGCTCTTCCTCCTCCTCCTCCTCCTCCTCCTCCGGAGGATGCTGGGCTCCCGTGCAAGCGCCCTTGCGCGCCTCCAACGCCTCCAGCCACCGCGCCAGC